TTTATATAAATTTTTCATTTGAGTACTTGACTGGTATTATAGTAGTAAATATGTGAATATTGCGAAGCAATGATCAATTTTATGTTTTTGAATTAAGCTTTTGTTGGTATAAAATATGTTTTTAGATGCATTTTTTTTAATTTTTTTTAAATATAAATTTAAGTTTTTGATTCTAATTCAGTTTCAATTAATTAAAAAACAATAATTTTTCTTCTTCTTTATTGGCGTGGGCACCGCTTACGCGATTATAGCCGAGTTAACAACAGCAATAACAACAAACAATAACAATATTTAGTTAGTTAAAAATTTCATAAAACAACATCAACTATTCAAATGAAAAGAAATTGTTAATTACTGTTTTTCAATTAGCTAAATAACTACGGCTTATTGCATTTTAAATTTAACTCTTTTCTGTGCCTTACATGCCGTTAAGCCCTGYATGAAGTAGGACGGCATACCAGGAAGTCCCTTGTGAATAGTGACCGCCACTAATGAGCCAGCAACACTGTAGCAGACTAGTGAATGTCCACCAAAAACGCACCACACCGTCAGCTTAGAGGCCCTCTTATTGGACGGTATGCGGAACCTAGTAATAAAGTAAATTAAATTAAATAATTTTCATGCAGGAATTTTATAAATATTATTCTACAGTTTACCAAATATTCACCAATACATTCCAACACAGACAGAAGAACCATATAAAGTAAGATAGCATTAGGAACTGTATAGCATAACCGATTTTCATGGAATCAATTTTGAAAATATGCACCAAAGAGTGCAGGAAATAGCCCAACGCTAAGCACAACGACAAAGAGCTTAGACATAGGCCATGTACCGAACGTAACTCCTTCAGTTTTATATGAATGTAACTGACGATTAATAAGCACGGTATGGAAACGAGCATCAAAGCAGCAATCGCTATGATCTGGCCACGTTTCAAGTGCTCCTCAATCGCTGTTATGCATGTTATGGCGTATGTTATACCAGACACATTATCCATATCAAGGCAGTAGTACTTTTCCACAGTGTAACTGTCGTTTCCATACTTGTCCATTATGAGTAAGGAACCGTCTTGCAACACGAAGAAGGCATCATCTTCATCGTTGTATATTAGAGAACTGCAAAAAATTCATGAAATATATATAGTATGTATATATACAATATATATATATAAGAAATTATGTTACGAATTGCAGGGATTCCCAATCTCAACTTGCAAATCGACAGCATTCTCTTCATCCTCAATGCAATTATCGTATAGAACTACGCTTATAGTAATGGGCTCAAACTTGAAATTTGTTGAATCGCAGAATTCGTCGGTTTGATTGTCACGAAATACGCTCAGTCCCTCACCATGGGGGCAACATTTTCTTAATCGCGAATTTTTGGTATATATCGGTTGTGCTGCTTTTTTGTTGCGCTGCGAGCAATCATCAGGTAAAGCCGCATTTTTTACGCTCTCTGTAGACGCGCTGTAATTTAACGCTTCGTTCGCTGCCGCGAACTCAATGGAATTTCTGTCATATAAATGTATGTATATTTATTAGTTACAGCAGTACTCGATGACGATTAGAAAAGTTTAAGTTATGTATGTGACCAATAATATAATTTGGATGTTATGGTGGTTCTTAAATGCTGGTTACGTTAACGTTTGAAAGTAATTAAGATGTTTTTTACATAATACCATAATCCCAAGTTATTACGCATATCGCATGTTTATACTGCAGAGAGTATACCTAAGGATTCTTATTAGTTTTTAGTACCAAAAGTTAAGGTTGCCTTAATCTCATCAAGATATATAAAATGTGCGGCAGTTTATCTAGTTTTTAACTAAAATCACAGTCAATAGGTGAGAAATGTTGTTTCAATATATTTATTGATATTCTCTCCACCAACGTAAAGTCAAGTAACATTAGTATGTCGCAATGAGAAAATGGATAGAAATCGAACTACCACCACTCTTACTTCTCATATAATACAACTTTACATGCCAAATGATTCTTTCACTTTCCAGTATACAAATTAAGCACAATTGAATGTGCCAGGATAAAACTTTGCACGAATACTGCCTTTAAAGTGCGTCAGCATATGATCAAAAATTATTCGTATCATACTAAGACCCCAGTTCCTATTGCGAACTTTTTATCAAAAATATCAGTCAATATGGGTCAAACCTTATAAATATACAATAAATTAAATTTAACCTTGAGTTCGATATATTTTATTAGCACGTAAGGAAGAGCTAAGTTTGGGTGCAACCGAACATTTTATACTCTTGCAATTTGCAGGAATTAAACGTTGACATAACGTTACATACATATACTATATATAACTCACATGCTGACAGGCACATAAGGCTTATTATTATGGAAGTTGAGGTAGTATCGATAAATTGTTTTCTATTTTTCCCAACACCCCATACTATTAACTACTACTACTAGTACAAAGTCACCCTGGAGTTCGATTTTATATTAAATATATGGGGACTAAGGGAAGTATTGGACCAATTCAACCCATTTTTCACTTACAGACATACCCTTGTCGGAGTAGTACTATCCCTGAATTTCAATTGTATATCTGAGACATTGACCGATATTTTCTAATAAAAGTCAACTATATGTACCGGGGTTTAAATATTCAGTTCATAGGAGCGTGAAAAGTTTTTGTTGGATTTAAGCAATTTTTTCGCATACAGTAAAGGCATTATTCGTGAAAAGTTTAATCCCGTTATATTAATTGCTTCTTGATTTGTGTACTGGAAAGTAAAAGAATCAGGTGGAATTTAAAATTGTGCAATATTGGAAGTAGGCGTGCTTGTTGTCCTATTTCATCCATTTTCACCCTGTGACATAAGAATCTAAGAATGCTATGTACTTATGTACTAAATTTGGTGAATCAGTCAGTTTCGGAGATATGACATTTCACCAACAGGTTCGATTTTCACAATAGCTTCCATAAAGATTTCTCATATCATCCCGGCGGCATATTTTTACGTTTCTGACGCATTTAGTTATTGATTTATCGCGCTTTTAGTAGTTTTGAACAGTACCGTTATATGGAGAGGATGCTGGATTTTCATCCGATTTCATCCATTTCACACCAGTAGGAGTTCTTGTAATATTCGTGATTGTGGCAAATTTGATTGTTGTAACTTTAGTAGTTTAGGAAATATACATATGTATACATTAATCGAGTGCCACTTGCTACAATGGTCCTCTGTACCAAATTACAGCATTATATCTTAATTTACCGCTTAGTTAAGGCACTTTATATGTTTTCGGTTAATGGCGATTTGTGGGCGTGAACGAACTCAATTTTTTTTATACTAAGGAAGACACATATCAAATTTCATCAAGATATCTCAATTTTTACTCAAGTTAAAGCTTACATGGACAGACAGACAATCAACCGGATTTCAACTTTTCTCGTCACCCTGATCATTTATATATACATAACCCTATATATGTATATCTCGATCAGTTTTAGGTGAACGAAACTATAATGCAAGAGAATAAATATTATTTTAATATTTATTTATTTTAATATGACCTGTAAATAAATTTACAGACATACTAGAAAAAAAGAGCTATCTGCTTAGGCTTTCGTCCCTTTTTGTATACATAGATACATATTAATTTACTTATATGAACATTTCAACTCAAAATTAATTTTAATAGTATAGGAGGTAGATGTTTTCAAATTGGTCATTAACATCTTGTGCATCTGTTAATTTTGAAAAGTGTAAGCACCTACATATATGCAAGAAGCGGAACTGCAATCTTCCGGATCCAATATTTCAAAATGATATAATAGAAAGGGGGCGCTATCTTAACATCCTAGGAATAACCTTTGATCAAAAACTGACTTGGAAATACCAAATTGAACACCTATTTCAAGACCTTTCAAAACGAATAAGTCTACTCAAAATCGTATGCAGCATGAAAAGTGGTGCACATGCAAAGTCTCCACTAAATATTATGACAGCCTTCATATTGGGGAAAATCTATTATGGCCTTATTATATATGGCAAAACATTAAACGCTGTCTGCCGAATATCAAAAAATATTACCACATTTCAGCGCGCATAATTAGTCTCGCGTTTCATACAACTCCAATTGCAAATATACTCTATGAACTGAAACTCCCTACTTTTGAAGACTGCATTTTTAAATTAACTAGGAATAAAATATATAACTGCATACAAAAATCAAATAACATCCTGTACAGAGACTTTAAGGCTCTAGCTCACTCGAAAAAATACCTTAAAATTATTTTAACAATCACGGAAATCTTCAAAATGGCTAAGAAGATGGATATAGATTTTTTCGAAACTAAAAACTTACAAAGTATTCAGTCCTGCCTGGAAATCTGCAGAATCTATTTTCATCTCCAGTGGTTTTACCAAAAATAGCACGAGCCCACTTGCTTTAAAGCAACTACATGCTGAGGTAGTGCAAATTGGAAGCAAAAGAACTGGCTAATTTGGCACTGTGACGGTTCAAAGAAAGTTGAAAACACTTTTGCTATTACAACATAATCTAAAGAGCCAATAAAAAAAAGGAGTTTTGCCTAGCTTCACGGATATATTCACTTTGGAAATTACAGCAATTTAAGAAGCTGCAAAATTAAAACCCAAAGGCTGTAATGTAATAATATGCGCTAATAGTAATTTTATATACGCCAGCGCATGGAAACATTACGGGTAATGAAAATGTCGATCAATTAGCAAAAGACGCACACACTCATCCTATTTTTTAATAAACAACTACACCGAAAAAAGTATTAAAAGGTGCCTCGCAAACTTCATTAAAAGACAACGTGTCTCAAATTTTGAAAATAAAATTAATGCTCATTATAAAACTCTGCATCAGTTTTCTCAACAATATGGCAGCAAATCGAATTTTAAAACAAAAAACCAGCAACTTGTTTTGATGAGACTTAAACTCGGCCATACAAAACTAACGCACGGATATCTACTTTCAAAAGAATCAATACCTATTTGCATGAACTGTAATGATTATTTTAACATAATTTTCAGTGATGTGAAGTAAAATATAGTTATATATCTAATTGATTATATGGCCAATAATACAATACAAGTTAATAAGGTACAAATTTGATAGTAAACCATTCAGTTACGTCGAACTATGAATGCTCAATTCTTTCGCAACATTTTTATACTCTTACACCATGTTGCTATAGAGTATAATGGTTTTGTTCACTTAACTTTTTTCTAACACCTAAAACTAATCGAGATAAATACCATTAATAATTATGATGAAGAGACGACTTGAAATCCCATTGACTGACCGTTCGTCCGTCTGTCTGTTCACGCTGTAACTTTAGTCAAAATTTAAACATCGTCACGAAACTTTTTTCAGGTGCTTCTTGATCAAATCGGACCACTGCTACGCCCATAAAATGGGTTTAATCTAAAACCTATTTCCATAACTAAGCCGCACATTAAAATACAAAACTCTTATTGGGTACAGGGCACCACAGAGGTGTGAGGAAAATAATATAATAATAGTTTGTATATATGAAATGTATATATCTCCTAAACCATTCACGTTATATCACTCAAATTTGCTCAGGATATCCCTTCAATAGGTAGGCGAAATCGGATGAAAACACGCCAATTCTCAATATAATGGTTTTGATAAATAATTTCAGAAGTGTTAAAGGTTAATGCAACAAGCTCCCAATATACCCTGTATAGTGATTTTCGACTTTTAAGCTCACTTTAAACCGTATAGGTTGGAAATTAAGTGAACTATTTTTTTTTTTTATTATAAAATTAAACAAATGTTTTGCGTTGAATATTAATGGAGTATGTCTATGCTTTCGTCTTGTACTCATATCCCTAATATAATGTATTACGATACTCTAGTTAGCATTTTTCACATAAACACATATCATATATAGTACATATGTATATGAAAATAGAGGAAGAATTTTTTAATGTAATTTTAGGTAACGTGAAGTAAAATATAACAATAAACTAAGCGAGTCTATGGCTTATAATGTACTCCAAGAAAACATCAAATTTCGTCGAATATTGAATGTTGAATACAGATAAATTTCTCACCGCCTGAAAAAAGTTCCTTTTTTTATCCTTGCAACTTGCATAAAACACTCAAATTAATATTTGGTAAAAACTGAAAGTATTTTCCCCGGATTTTTTCCTATCGAGTTGCAAAAATATTAAATGTCCGGTTACATCTGAATTTAACTCTTTCCGCGTTGATCTTTGCAAGTTGAAGCAGTAGTAAATGTTCAATTAACCATTCCTTACTAGTTTAATATAAAATTTTTCACCAGAATGCATTGTTGCAAGAGTATGAAATTTTCAGTTACAGCTGAATTTAGCCCTTCCTTACTTATTATATATACAAATGATGGATAGATAATACTCTAAAAACTTATCGTTAATTAGGAAACTGTTTAGAAGCCCGTTTATGATACTGCTAAGCGGTGATATCTTCTTCTTCTTTATGGGCGTAGACACTGCTTACAT